AAATCAAATATTTGAATACTTGATTTGAATTTGATCAAATCGAATCAAACATTGATTTGGATTTGATCAAATAAATCTTTCTTTAATTTAAATTTGATCAAATCAAATATTCAAATATCAAATCAAATTGTGGAACCCTAACTAGTATAATTTCTTTCATAAAATGAAATCTTCAATAAAAATCTTCAAATAAATAAAATTTTCAATAAAATTTTCAAATAAAATCTTTAATAAAATCCTCCAGAATGTATGGATCAGATTTGTCATCATCATTTTAAAGTAAAACAGCCAATAAACTCAAGTTTTTATACATAAAACTTTTGGAAAACAATGCAGTTTTAAAGTAAAACCAAATGAAACTCAAATTTTCGTACAGAAAACTCTGAAAAAGATGCAAGTTTTTCAAGGCAAAACATGTAAAACTAAATAATTCTTATTCCTTAAAATTTTTCTCTAAATATTCTTTTTTAAAATTCTTTCAACTTAGGTTGATCAGTCCTTCGTTTAGGAAATACTAAACTACTGTGAAATAAATTATTCCTACTAATTCTAAAATCTTCTTAAAAATTCTTTCCTTAATACATTACTAATTATGACATTTAGCTGCTACATTTAATATTATAGAATCCACAACAATAGCTGCTTTAACAAGCTTATCCGCCAATGAACCATGACAGAATACATAAGGTATAATATTAAGGTCCTCCCTAAAATTGTCAAACAAATATTCTGAAATTCTAACTATACTATTTCTAAAATGCTAAACTAAAAATATTCAATTTTCCTTACGAATGTTCTGATAATATTTTTTTACAAATCTTTCTATGAATGTTTCTCTTCTGTTAACTTCGTATAATATTTCTGAACAATATTTCGAACAATAACATTGCTTTGTTTGGTGTGATAATTTGTGTATAGTGGTATGAAGACATGTACTGTTAATTCTCAGAGCATGCATCAAATTTGTAGTTGCCATAACCCTTGTTTTACAAATGTATAGCATTTTTGAGTTTAATAAACTTCAACATAGCTTATATCTTCTTGACTGTTTCTGCAACTCATCATCAAGAGGATTTGTTTTACAAATTAATTTTTAATTGCTGAGAATCTTTTCTTTTACGTTATTTGATATTTCCTTCAATAATTTGTTTTCAATGTTATTATTGTTTAACTTTTCTTCTATTATTCTTTAACTTTCTTAAATTATATTACTTCTTATCTTTATTATTTCATTATTCTTTTAAATGTTACTTCTGAATATTATTTATGAATATTATTTCTGAATGTTGTTTTTGAATGTTTCTTCTGAATGTTCTTTCCGAATGTAAATTCCTTTTTTATTTTTAAGATTTTTATTATTATTTCTATTTATTTCTTGCATAACTTTCTTTTTACGTTAAAATATTCTTTAAATCTCTGTCATATTTTTATTATTACTTCTAAGTTTTATTTCTGCATTACTTCGTTAACATATTTATAAGATTAAAGTTTATATACAAGCGAGATAACTTTATTTATTTCATAATTTAATTGTTTAACAATAAATTATTTCAAACAAAAGTATTCATTTTATTTATGTTTAAAAGTTTATTTATTCCCTATAAAAAATCGAAATAAGGAAATGATACTTTTTTTTTAAGGTTTGTATACGTAATTAATGATTCTATAACAAAATTCCGTATGTTTTATAATGATTTATTTTTTTATAATTTTTAAAAAAATTAATGTATACAGAATTATTAAGGAATTTAAAATA